CGGAAGACGTGATCAAATTACGCAAGATGGAGGCCGTAGCAAAATGACTCCTTTCACTGGCAACGCACGTAGCGGGGCCGTGGTGTGGTCAGATAGTCACGCCTGTCGCCACCAGAGGTGAAGACCTCCGGCCAAGCGGCGCGTGCGAGTTCTCCGTCATAAAACCGCAGAATGAAGTCACTGCCCTCCGTCGTACCTCGGCCCTTTCTTTTTCTCTTTCATAAAGCGTGTTCCATTTTTACATGCACTCTCGCTGCTTTTCACAGCTGTTGAGCCCTTCGCCCTTTCACACCGGTGTTACTTTTCGTGTATTTTCGACTTCATAGCGTCAAGACTGTTCACCATAGTGTCTTGGCGCCGCTTCTCCGGCCGACCTTGTTTTCCTTCGCAAGTACCTTCAGTATTCGCAACCTACTTAGTGCTGTGTATATATAGCTGTCCCTTCTCATTTTGTATACACACCGTTCCTTTTTTGATCCGCCTTGTAAATTCATCGTGTTAAGAGGTTTCTGTCGGCAAGACCAAGGTACAGCGTACAAGGGTCAACTTGGCTCACATCAACTACATATTTAAAAAAAAAACGGGGTGTGGAAGGGTAAATGGTATATGTCAGTTTTAGCGTAATATCTCATAAACGGCTGCACGTATTCCCATAAAATATTACATGCTCACAAAAAATACCGCTGGGTATTAAGTGACACCCTTTTTTATGTCTAGGCCCCGCCACGGCGGTCTAGTGGCTAAGGTACTCGGCTGCTGACCCGCAGGTCGCGGGATCAAATCCCGGCTGTGGCGGCTGCATTTCCGATGGAGGCGGAAATGTAGGCCCGTGTACTCAAATTTGGGTGCACGTTAAAGAACCCCAGGTGGTCAAAATTTCCGGAGCCCTCCACTACGGCGTCTCTCATAATCAAATGGTGGTTTCGGGACGTTAAACCCCACAAATCAATCAATCAAATCATTTTTTATGTCTAGGTTGCTTATCCTTCCTATGGCCCTCTCCCAAATTTTAAAGGGGGTTCACTTATTCAGTGTACCTTTTCTCTGCAAGCATGTTCAGCCGTGTTGTTGTAGAGGCACATAGGTTACATCTAAACTAAAAGATATTACATTGTCATGAAGTTTTTTTAACAATAAAAAACACTGCTTGTACAATTCCATGAAGGGTGCGTATTGTTGTGTAATTTTTTAAACTTAACTTTTTATGAAATCAACATTTTTTTAGTTGAGGTTGTTTCTACCTTGCTGTAGCTTACGCATACAAAGTTTCATACTTTTCGAGAAAAGGTACATTGAAGTTGAAAAATTTACAGGAAAAGCACTTTGAGAAAAAGTTTTGCGAGCCAAGCTGCCTACGCCAGAGGGCGCGCGGCGAACTTCGGCGCGGCATTTGAACCGCTTAGAGCGGCCGCTCGACGTCGGGCTTCCACAGGTTCGTTCCTCAGAGTACAGTGAATTTTGGGGGGCAGTTTACCCTACCATACTATGTGATCTTCACTTCTCAAGACTGTTCGATGTGTATACAATCTCCCTGAGGCGCTTTCAGCCTGATCATATAGCCGTTATTCACTAGAAAGGCAACCTCTGAATGCTACATAGCGCTTGTGCTGCAACGCCTCTTTAGCCTGACGGTATGAAGCAACATTGTCCCATCTAGAAATGGTATTTGAGTCTATAATATTTTTAATACTAAAATTAGTTATGAGAAATTATGCGTAAGCGGAGACTGCGCGTGTGTTTGCGGATGTATGCTCCATTTTTTGTTTGTTTTCTTATCGCTGCGAATATCATACCTTTTACCCGACAGGAGTATCATATCAGGCTATCAGTGAAACATTTTGCCTACATTACAAACATCTCTCCCTCGCTGTTTTATCTCCCGCTTCGTCCCTTAACTAATTTCTCAGGCCATGACCATTCCAACGTCACGTTCGTCAAATTGCCGCACCCGGCCGTACACAGACAGGGAAAAGCACTAAGATGATTGATATGTGGGGTTTAACGTCCCAAAACCACTCTATGATTATGAAAGACGCCGTAGTGGAGGGCTCCGGAAATTTAGACCACCTGGGGTTCTTTAACGTGCACCCAAATCTGAGCACACGGGCCTACAACATTTCCGCCTCCATCGGAAATGCAGCCGCCGCAGCCGGGATTCGAACCCGCGCCCGGAAAAGCACTAAGCCAAAGAGTAGATCACGCAGTTGGGACCTTCATTAAGACGGTGGCGCTGTGGGAGGTCGCCTGGCTGACGCTCACTTCCTTAATTATTGAGCCACCCTTCGCTACCTTTACTGACGGCGAAGTAATGTGTTGTGCCACACAAGAAGCACTACAAACGTGGGTCGGTTCAAAGGAATAGGTTTTATTGACCAGAAGGTCGATGCACTGGATTTTATCTATTGCATTTGGGATCGCTCTGCATTTGGTCAAAGGAGATTCGTTAAAACGTGGAAAGACAAAGCAAGGTCAGCGCTGACTATTCAGCGCTGGATAGTGCGCCATTACCCGGCGCTGCCTAACATGGGACATGTAGTCTATATTAGGCGAGTGGAATTAAGCTACGCGTAACTCGAGTGAGTAGGTGCACACTTACACGCTGCACATCGGTCATGTTCCTCTGTCAAAAGCCCTTTACCAAGTCACCCCCGAAGAGAGACATGATCTGTGAGTCTAAAATGGCACTTGGTTCTCTCCCAGCTGTCAAACAACGGGCGCTCGCAGAAAAACACGCAATGTACTGACAATGTCCTTAGTTAAGACCAAACATTTCTTCGCCAACCTTCCCGAACCTTCTTGACAGTTCTTCTGGGTGCTACAGCCTATCGGAGTAGATCACACTAAGAAGTTAAACCAGGAAACTATAGGGCAGCGGATGCTTGGCACAGTTAATTTATAGCATATAATGTAACATCATTATAAAGACATGTGTTTGAGACGTGTATCTCTGTATGTGATGTTTATTTTTAGGTTGTGTCACATGGCACTACAGTCCCAGACTTGAAATCCATTGGTCGAAATATGTTAAAATTTTTATCTACGCTTATCGACTGCATACTCCGAAGTCACTCGAGGCTTTATCTGCAGTTCCGTTCAATGACGCACACCCTTACACACACACACACACACACACACACACACACACACACACACACACACACACACACACACACACACACACACACACACACACACACACACGTGCACACATGCGCGCACGCTAATTGCATACTCACGTTCCAATTAGCCTGATTGGCTAATAAAATATTCGCGTGCGCCGACTACCACAGTTCGCATTATTTTATAAATAGAATCTTACAGTCGTTACTCTGACGACTTATCCCCTTTTTGTATACATTCCCTTTCACATAAGCTAATACGACTCTCAGCTGTACAAAGCTGAGAGCAGTTTTTTTCATTCTCAATGCGAAAATAATTGTCATTAAGCGTCCCTCCAAACTTCTCAAAGTTGAAAGCGAGGCTTAATTTCGACCCCTCCCAACTTCTCAATAGTTGGGAGGGGTCAGAGGGGTCGAAATGTGATCCTTGTATGGTGCGCTCGTGTGTTTACAAAGTTTTATGCAGCTCGTGGCAGAGCCACCTGATATTTTTTATTCATTCTTATTGAAAAAAGATGCACTATACTTACGCTATAGTTCACCAAGGGTAAACTGTACCGACAGAGCGCTATAAAAAATCGCTTATGAGGGCACTGCTGAAATAGATTCCAGCAAAATAGGCTGTCGTTCCGGGTCTTTTATGAAACCTCTCATGTGAAAGAGCGGAAGGCGCGCGCGTGGTGCCGTTTGCTTCGTGCTCGTAATGAGTCTACTCGGCGACCAATTGAGATGCAGTGATGCAAAGCGGTGGTTATCAGTCTGGGTGCGACGACGCTCGTTGTCTAATCCTCCTTTTCTCAGGCCCGAGGTATACGAAAACGCCGTGGTGGCACTTGTCATGAGCAGAAAAAGAAAAAAAAAACCAACACGGAATGAAAAGGTGACAATACACACGCGTCAATATTCTTCGTTTTCCTTGTGTTCACTTACTCGTTTGACAGTTTTCCATTTATTCTATAGTAGCAGCCCCGTTATGACCCGAAACTGCTGTTGCCGACTCCTTGCATGTTACGGAAGAGCTGATGGTATCGTCAAGCCGGTCTAGCCACTCTTTTCTTCATCAATTCTCACTGATAGCATATAAAAAATGACGCTTAGTCACTTGCGTTCGAATAGCATCGCCTTTTTTATTTCGGCCATATGACGTAATCTGCGTAGCATTATACGTAGTTTTTACTTATTTATTTATTTATTTATTTATTTATTTTTATTTATTTATTTATTTATTTATTTCTTCATTGTACCCTCAAGGCCCGAGGGCATTACAGAGGGGAGTGGTGAACGGGAAGTTATACAAACTTGGGTAGTAAATAACAGAACAAGAACTTTGTAAAACGACAGTGCAATAAAACAATAGACAAGAAATAGCAGTACATACAATGTAGAAAGGAAATGCTTTGGAATTATATTATGAATAAACAAGGTAATTTGACATTAATTCCTGTTTATACAACTTTACGACAACAATAACAAAATTTCATGAATTCCAAGTTAATGAAGGTAAGCTGTAGCCTTGCGAAAAAGTTTGTTATCAATGATGGTGACTGTCATTGGGTAGGTGGTTCCATTGCCGAGATGTTCTAGAGAAAAAGGAATGACTGAGGGTGTTGGCATTTCCTGCTTGAATTCCAACTTAGAAGCGATGGTCTATTGCTGAAACAGTTTTCGAAATTGGGCAAATGTCATCTAAATGAAGCTACCTAAGGGGTACACACTATATCAGCTGAAAAAAGTGATTGATTGATTGTTTGTGTGATTGATTAAACAGTGAAACGTGGGTGGATGGCTATAGCCAGTTGTTGCTTATGCTGTGCTGCGAATCTGCTCATATGAATCAGAAAAAAAAATTAATTGCAGGCAGAGTGTCCTCTCTTCTATTAGGTGTCAACAGGAGCGAGAGCTGGATTCCCGACCCGGGCTGACTCCTGCTCGTGGCCAAAGCCCTTCCTCCTCTCAGATCAGCAGGGTGCGGCCGCCACTTTCGGCCGTCGGCGGGTGGACCGAACCCGTTTTCTGGCTCAGTGTGTCAGTGGGCGAGAGAGCGGCGGCCTGGGCGCCTTGCTCGCTCACCAGTGGCTGTGTGGCCATGAGCAGCGGCAGGCGCATCCGTCCCGAGCGGTCTGCGGGCGCCCAGCGGCGCAACGTGCAGAAGCTCACCTGGCGAGACTCGCACTGGCTCCAGGGCTTCTCCGACGACCAACGCGGCGGCCCGTCGGCCAGCCTGAGTGACATGGGCGGAGGAGCGGCGTTACGCCGCGTGCTGTTGCTCTGCGAGCGGCAGCAGCACCGCGAGGCCGCCGCGCTGCTCTCACGCCTCGCGCCGGCCGCCTTCCGTGCGCTGGTGGCCGAACTGCCGGTCGAGGTGCTGCTAGAGCAGCTGCCCGCGTCTCTGCCGCCCCTCGAGGCCCTGTACGCGCGTGCCACCTTCCTCGAGGAGCCCTCGACTGCACTGCAGGCGCTCAAGCCCGATGCCCTTGTGCTACAGATGGTGCGCCTCTTCGCGCAGCAACACGACGCCGACCGAGATGGAGCCGCGCCGTGGCTCGCACCACCCCAGATGATCACCTCTTGCAAGAAGCTTCTCAAGGTGCGTCCTGCACCGGCGTGCATGCTGTCGCCGAGGGGTTCAGCACCAACCCGTGCCATCTCTGGTGCTGGGCCCCCCGCGCTGCGCCCCTGTACGCAGTACTGCATGATAGTGCGGACGTACTAAGTGTCGCATGGGCCAGGTTATTTACGCCTCATTTGCGCGTGATCAGCATAGATCTGGGTCGTGTCTTCGTAGTCCTCTACGCAAACATTATGTACCGTCCTAATTCGGGCAGTAACGCAAAACAATCGCATGTGCGGTGAAAGAGCACGACTGTACACAGCGATTTGTCCCGTCTTCTTTGCGCTGCGTGAACAATGTACTACAAGCTACATTATCAATTTGTGTATGGACATCTTCGAGCGTTGAGCCGCAGCAGTCTTCGAACGTTGTGCTTAAACACACGAACTTATCAAAGAATATGTCCCATAGTTATCACATGCACGTGAGCTGTTACAGGGCCTACAAGTCCCTGCAAGCTTGCAAATTTTGCTTATATTGTAATGGATTTCTGTCATTTATTAGCCAATGACATGACCTATCGGTATTTATATATGGTTAACTTTGTTCCTGAATGATTTAGTGGGCAGTTTTCCTCATTAAATTATCAAGCTAAGACTACAACGTAAGCACAACAAATGTCACTGCACGATGGTCAACTGCTTATTAGCTTGTTATAAACTTTGTGTGGTGGTATTGTATAGTACGACCCTCGAGATCGAATGCGAAAGTCCGAAGAAAGAGAGGGTGCTTCCGGTGAGTTTACTGTGCTTCCATGCACTTAAAGCAGCCAACTATCTTTTTTTTCTCTGTAAAGGAACGCAGGTTACGTGTGAAAGGTTAAGGTTATATGCAGTCAAACGTGTGTGAACGAGCGTGTAATATTTTAGATCCTCAGTAGTTCTTCCTTTCATTGAGTGCACTCACTTGAACGTCAAGGTGTAACACATAAAGACAGTAAGTCTGTATAGTTTAGGATTCGACAGTGTGACTTTTAGCTGCGCGATGTTGCAAACGAGACGTTTATGAAGAACAGTGACATTAATATGGCCACTCAGAGTGCTTAGACTGACAGCCTATAGCTAAATAGTTATTGGGGCACTCTTATTTTGAATATACTGGTTACGCTATGAGCCTTTTAATTATTAATCAAAGGTGACTAAAGCACAGGAACAATTTGAAGCCCGTCTTCGAAACGACCTATACAGGTGGGGGGAAAAAGATTTCAACGATGAAGCCCCGCTCTGAGCTACGTGAACATATTCGTATTTCACATTGAAATAACGCTAGACTAACGCTGAAAGAACTCTCATATAACGTAAACATTGCCTCCTTGCAACACTGCCGTCACCACTGATACGGGCTTGTGAGGCAGTGCATTGCGGTTTATTTCAGCAGGACCGGTCTTGATATCGGTAGTGCCTTATATCTGCGTAGTGCTTTCTTCATGTGTTCCATCCGTGGCGCACTATGTGGGCACTTGCATGAAAGCATTGAACTTGCCGTCTAAAAAAAGAGATACAAAGAGTGTTTTGCTTTGTGATATTGACGATGATAGCAGCATGACGCAAGATTGAGTGCATGCTGACTTCATAAGTGACCTTTTTAGGTGTCGTTAACGCTTTACGAGAGCCTTCCCATAAGAAGTATTCTAATTACTCAAAAAAAATCTGTAAACATTCCACGTATAGTTTGTACATCATCATATTTTCTTCGCAAAATTTCAACGCGCCCAAAAAACACAGTGTAGGGCAAAAGCGAGCTCCTAACTATGATGTTAAGTGTTAAGCACTCATTTGGACCCCTACACTGCGTTCTTGTCTTCAGTGAGCGCTTAAGGTTAACCAACTCGCTCAATTTTCACTTGTACTGCAATTATTTTCTTTCCCTTAGCCCATGGGCGTACGTCAGTAAGCCACACAACAGTAAGCTTACGTAAAAAAAAAACACGTTTGTGAAGAGAGTACTGCGGCTGGTATAAGTATATCATCTTGAGATACATACATGCATTGTACTCAAATGACTGCCAGTAGTGGTTTGCCAACGTGGTGGACCACCCGTGGCAGTGAAATGTACACAGGAGCGTCTCTGCTGTCCCTTCAACCTTGGTGCCGTGTGCTGTATTTCGGTGCTCGAACCTGAGCAGAACGACGAAGAGACGGCATTCTGTGAACACAAATTTCCTCCGCCAGCCAACGGTCGTGTACGATCAGTGCGGCCGCACGAAGACGCTAAGCGCGAGGCAGCTGCAGTGTTTGATCAGCCTGTATTGGGTGCGCCGATCTGCACGCCGACCATGCTGATGTCCGATTGTGCAGCGTTCAATTCCTCTCGCGTGAGCTCCAAGCTTTTCTTTGATTATTTAAACGCTGGAACACGATGAAAGAACCGCACAAAGAGCATTAAGCAGGCCATGGGATCATGTGAGGCGAGAAGAATACTGATAGGGCATTGATGCTTCTGTTCGGATACAGCACGCGTTATGAAGACCTTGCCTGCTACGACCGCGTCAAAAGATTGTGCCTGCGAAATGAACCCTCTAATGGGGCGGAAATCTCGGAGTCGATCAACACTTGGAGTGGTGGCGCAGTGGAACACCATCCTTTCGAAGCCGCGCGAAAGACAATGAGTTCGGTTTGTAGCTTTCTCGAAGGCATTTGAACGCTTTCGCATCCTGCTGTGTCATGAAGCTCGAAGAGTATACGAGGTAGCTGGTGATGTACTGTGCCTCTCTTTGAGGTAGAAAATTCGCATCCGTCGACGGGTCACCACCCACGCCAACGCGGTGGTCTAGTGGCTAAGGTACTCGGCTGCTGACCCGCAGGTAGCGGGATCGAATCCCGGCTGCAGTGACTGCATTTTCGATGGAGGCGAAAATGCTGTAAGCCCGTGTGCTCAGATTTAGGTGCACGTTAAAGAACCCCAGGGGGTCGAAATTTCCGGAGCCCTCCACTATGGCGTCTCTCATAACCATCTGGTGGTTTTGGGACGTTAAACACCACATATCCATCAGACGGATCGCCGCCCGCATGTACGGGTCGGCGCCTTCGCACATTGTCTTCGACTAGCTGTTTCAACTACCTTAGCGTAATAGGCCTATGCCGCCATAGGTGGCTCTCCGCCTGAAAGCGGGTGGCATTGCGCCCATAAGGCACAAAAATTTCTCAAACAGTTCGAGCCAACCAATTTTCAAATGGCGCTGCACAAAATGAAACAAATCGAGGAACAGCTTATCAACCAATATGATCATCGCTTAGATGGAGGAATGGTCGTTGCATCACACGCAACTCATGCGTAGGCGTCGAGTGAATTCTGTAGTCGAAATGAACGAGATCGCTTAGCCGTTATAATGACAAGTGTTTTTGTCCGTGTGCTTTATTTCGGCCTTATACTGAACGTCATGCTTACATCATCTTGGTTCCTGCTGCAATAGCCGTTTCTCTTCACTCTGTAAAATATGTAATGGGAAGTGTTTAGTTAACGAAATCACGTATTATGCCCAATTGAAACATTTAATCACAGTGAGAGGCTCCGGGATAATAAAAAAATAATATAAACAGTAATTGCGGATTACTTGTTAGCAAGTTACAATAACTTAGCGCAGGAAATTTAATATTACGCTTAACAAAGAAAAACGAGCCCTTAAATTTACACTTCTTTAATTTATACGTTAACAAGAACAAACTGCGTTGATCACGGAAGTATCAGCAGCTATAGATCCACGCATTGCTGAAGCCCACTTTTTTTTTTCGTTCGAACGACATCCCATACCGCGTAGCGCGCACACACGTGTTGCCCGTTTCGCGTGCCTGGGCTGTTGCGTTGGCCGCGTGCTATTGCTGTCGTCCTGGCGCCACGCGGCCGGCAGCCAAAGATTACGCGACGTGACATCACCGGCACTCGGGCTTTTTGGGCTTCACGCGGAGGACAGCCGAGAAGAGGCCGCCCTTCGTTCGACGAAAACGCTCACCGCACGCACAGCTCGCGTGACGCGTGCGACGTTTACAACGTCAAAGGGACCACGGTGGCGTCACGTGTTCTTCAAACTTTATTTATTTACCAGACAAAAAGTGGAAAGTCGCCAAGGCTAAAAGCCGTGAGAACGGTTTGACAAAGGCCCTGGTGACTTGTACATACACATGGCAGTAGTGAGGACATGATTAGAAGTACGTAACTTGCAAGTTCTAGTATAAAACATGAACAATAAATACTAACTCAGAACATTGTTTCACAATTGATTATTTTAAAATACATGTTATAAATGTGCAAGTCACCCTCGGCGTTAGGTGGCGTGCCAATGCGCCCCTTTTGTGCCTAATTGTCGCCTGTAAACGGACAAGGTTGCGGTGCTGATTTTAAACAGGTGCGCAGTAAACATGTACGAGCGCTAGAGAAATACGGTGGCTTCTCCGCGTTAATGAAAGCTGCGAGGAAAAGCCTTCTTTCGGCTGGTGTCTGCACTCATCGGGCCACAGTGCGCGCAACCGCGGACGGTATCATAAAAGCCCTAGGTAATAATATTAAATAACTTCGCCTATAAAGAACAAAACTAAACGACACTGGCATTGAGCTGCCCACATTTAAGTTGCGAGCAGTGAAAAGATCCTTCTCTGAACGCCACAACCCGCACTTTCCATGCAGGCAAACATGCTTGAGGCCCGTATACTTAGATTTAGGTGCACGTTAAAAAAATCTCAAGCGGTCAAAACTTCCGGAGCCCTCCACTACGGCATCTCTGAAAATCATATCGTGGTTTTCGGATGTCAAACCCCAGCAGTTATTTTTACTGAGTAGCACGCAGTTAAAGGTATCAGCGTTTAACAAACGGGAATCACTGAACACACTTTATTCAAGGAAGTTAAGGGCCCAATAGGGGCCTTAAAAATGACGTTGGGTGGGTGTAAAATAAATATGATTTTGGCAACAAAAAAAACATTGCAGGCGGCTAATACACTGCTATAGTCCAATAACTCGTGACACATGATGGCACAAGGCAA